TCATGCCTAAATAAATATAATTTAGAGTAAAAGGAGAACAAGAAAGCCACACCATAACCTTTTTATCTCGTCCTCGTTGTTTTTCTTGTTTTTGAAAGTTAGGGTTCATATTTTCCACCCACAATGGCTCACGGACGCTATAGAAAAAGGAAAAAAAAATAGTGATCGGCGTTAAATAACCTATGCAAATCAAATCAATAAAGGAAAATATCTTGATCAAAATATAAACAAAAGTCTTTGGATTAAGATTTAACTTATCCAATAATGAAAATTAAGTGTTTTACCCGCATTTACGGGTCTAATAATTTTATAAAATCTTGTAAATAGAGACTGATGAATTCAAAAACAATTATAATAAATTATCTTCATGCTTTTCAAATATTGAATAATTAATTATTTTACATAAGATAAAGTTTTTTATTTAATAAAATATATATTATTACATACAATATACTTGAAACATTTATCAAAATATTATGATGTAAAATATATTTTGATATAGAATCTTTTCAGATAACAATGATTATCAAATTAATGAAATTTATTTTGAATTTATAGGTACTACAATCTAATCCAATATAAACTATTAAAACAGAAGTACAAATAAGAATTGACCCTAATTTTCCTAAATAATTACAATCTAATGCTACTGAGTTAATAACTATTAATTTAAGATAATTATTTATGAACTCTAGTATCTATGATATTACTAAAAATAGCTTAATTGTTCCTTATTTTTAGCTACCACCAAAATAAAAATATATCAATTTTTTAGTTTCAGTTTGTATTCTTAATTTATCATATTTTAATTATTTAAGTTTTTTAAAAAAATTGTGTATAGAAAAATGAAAAATCTGAAACTGTTTTTTAATAGAAAACATAAACGGAAATATCAATTTTCCAATTAAATTATATATTCTTTACAAACCATATATGATATACATTGAATATTAAAATTTAGTCAAATAGACTTATATGCCTACTATGCATTTTTTTTCTTTTTAGTTCAGTAATATGCATTTCATCATACTTTTGAAAACAAATAGAAAATGTATAAATATTAGTGGGCATGATTGTATTAGCCATTTTGCAGCTAATAAAATTAATAAATAGCATTCAGAAAATAAAATACCCAATACAACATTCACTAAATAATAAATGATTAAATGATTACATCCTCAAAACCTTACACAAATCTCAACCTTCTAAAGGCTCTATCCAACTTTAAGTATTAAACCATAAATTCCTATTTTAGATTAAAATTTACTGGCATTTGAAAATGTTGTTTTTTGAATTTTCTTTATTCACTAATTTTAAAATTCAATATTGTTTAAATCTACCTAAAAATATTTGTCATTATTTATTCTTAAAAATAAAGAACACATAATAATAATCAATTTATATAATAAATAAATATAAAATTAATATGTACTATATTATTTAAGGTATATTTCCTATAACTAATAGTCCAATACAAATCAAATATTGATAAAAATGTGGATGATAAAATTAACGGTTCAAACACAAAACAAAATTACTTCATATAAACTATAAAATTCTTCGTGTTGCATATTAAACAATTTCTTTAGTATAGGTGAATTTTAAAAATATACACTACCAATAAAGTAAAAAAAATACGAATCTATATAAAAATGAACAAAACCCCGTGCAGGCTATAAAGTTATTAATGTTGCATATTAAACAATTCTTTAGTAGAGGTGAATTTTAAAAATATACAGTACCAATAAAATAAATACTAATCTATATAAAAATGAACAAAAATCCACGCAGGCGCGTGGTTCGAATCCAAGTTATTTTTTAAAGATAAAGACTTTGAACACTTTAACTTATAATTTGAAACGAAAAAATCACTTCACAAATAATAAAATAGCAAGTGTTAAATTTTTTGCTAACTTTTTCTCAGAAATTATCACAATGAATGATTTTGATTTTCTTAAAAAAATATCATAAATGATAAATGATTCATTTATCTTATCTGATCTAAATATAGTAAAACATAGCCGGTTTAATATTATAAACCGAATATATATATAATATCTTAATATTATTAAAGTAAATGTAATGTAAATTGAACTATCATATTATCGTTAGATTTTTTTAATTCTCAAATAATGATAAATTTATAGCTAACTTACTAAAACTATTTATTAATATTGACAATTAAGCATAAAATATGACTAAACCTAAAATTATGGAGACTATAATAAATTATAAAATCAGAATAATATATATAACTACAAAGAATTGGCATAAATAATAAGAAAAAGGGGGAATTACCAAAACCAACCCAAATATTCATTTTAACCCTAAAGATGTACCTCATATTCAATCAATTTCAAACCCAACCTAAATGAGTGTTAAAACTACTATTTAACCCTTATGAACAAACAAAAAACGTGGAATATATTTTACGATTATGTCCTTCGTATTTCTACACTTTAAGAAAGAAGTCCACAACTAGGTAGACTTACATTAACGTCTACTGTGTAGACTAGTGTAGACTTATTATTTAGTCTACATCTTAATTTAATCAAATAATTTAATTTTAAAAATGTAGAAAAAAATGTTATTGGTAAATTTTTTTAATAAATCATCAATTTAAAGGTTAGTATGAGGTATATAAATTAAATTTTCTTTTAATTGAACAATTTAAAATAATGTATATTGATTTGGGAACTATGTGGTAGACAATGTTAATGGTTTAGCAACCAAAGGTTCTGACATGTTATGTCTTTTAGAGTTAGATTCTTGGGGGTTTTGCAAAACCAACCTAAAAATTCAAGTCAAACACAAAACCAACCTCTTTTTTTGTCATTACTATTCACCATTAAAAAGACCAAACCCTCCTCATGTTTTTCAACTATTTACAAAATTGCCATTTTTATATAATATTTTATTAATTTCAAAAATGCCAAAAAACCTGTTACACCCTAAACATTTCTCCTTATGTACAACAATGCCATTATCATCAATATCTCCAACCACCATGAACCACCATTGATGAGCTCTTAAAGCTCAAGATATGAATTGTCAACCACTTATTTCACTTTCTAAACCAACAATACTTCATTTCTTCTCATTTCCTCTCAATTTTCATCTAAACAATCCTCATAACTCTCATTTTTATAAACACAAACTTCAGAGTTTTGTTTATATTCACAAGTGAATCGTAAAAGGTGCTTTTTTGCTCATATTTGGATTCTGGACGGTGGAAAAGCTTGGAAACAAGCTTTAAACCGGTGTCAAGGTAACTATTTACATGTTTTCGTCATATCTCTGATCTGTATCGCGAAAGTAGATTGTATTATATGTCTACACTTACGTGTAGACTTACGATGCAGTCTACTTGTCAATGCACAGGTTACTTTTGCAATTGACCAAAATAATTTTTTTTGTAATGTAGACCTACAAGTACGTCAACGTCTTTACCTTTGAAACCAAAAACAAAAAATTTGGTAGACTTACTAAGAAATCTACATAAAAGAGGTTAGATTTGCATTTGACCAAAATTGACTTACCATAGTAGACTTTCTTGGAAGTCTACACTTTGTAGACTGCTAGGGAAGTCTACGGAAGGTTAGTTTTGCATTTGACCAAAACTTTGACTTCGTTGAATAGGTTTCTTTTGTATTTGACTAAAATATTTAGAAACTGACTAAAACTAACTTTACGTGTAGACTTCATATGCAGTCTACAAATCTTAGGAAAAAAATTAGACTGCATATGAAGTCTACTATTTTATGTTGTTCAATTGCAAAACTAACTTGTCGGTGTAGACTTTTACTGCAGTCGACAGTTACGTAGACATTTAATTTTGTCTACTAGTAGAAAGTCAAATTTGGTCAATTGCAAAACTAACCTCTTTCAAAAAAATTTGAAAATGTAGACTGCATAGTAAGTCTACTTCTAAAAGTCAAACTCTGAACGAATTCTGGTCAATTGCAAAACTAACCTTTTTTAAAATGTAGACTAAAAAATAAGTCTACTCGTATAAAATCACATCTTTTTTCAAATACAAAAAGTAACCCGTGAATTTGGCAATTGCAAAAACCAACCTAAACGTAGACCTAATTTGCAGTCTACAAAATGTAAACTGAATAAAACGTCTACCCGTCTGTAGACTGAATATGTAGTCTACCTAGAAAAATCTATCAAAAGTGAATTTGTGTATTATTCATTAAGTTTTTCTAATTTTTTTTTATGAAAGTGTGTGTTAGTTAATCATAAGGGTCTTGAATGATTTTCAGAAGATAATCTGTTATAATTAGGAAGTTATCAAATTTTTTGTTTGTCTATGTTGTTAGCTTAAAATTTGTAGACGTACTTGTAAGTCTATGATATAATTTTATCAAACATGAAATTTTGGTTTGCTAATTATGTAAACCGTATTGNAGAAGATAATCTGTTATAATTAGGAAGTTATCAAATTTTTTGTTTGTCTATGTTGTTAGCTTAAAATTTGTAGACGTACTTGTAAGTCTATGATATAATTTTATCAAACATGAAATTTTGGTTTGCTAATTATGTAAACCGTATTGTTTTGCACGAAATGGTTCAACTACCTGTTGTATACGGAGAATGGGTGGTGAAAGACTCTTTGTGGGAGTTTGAGGTCGATAATCGGAAAGGAGGGAGAATGTTCCTTGTTCAGATTCATAACAGCATAACAGCATCATAAAAATTACGACACTTTCTCTAACGGTTTACAAGAAAATGTATATTCGTTCTGTTTGGTTTATACATTTGATATTAACTCATGCTACATTGAGTTCATAAATAATAAAACTCCAATTTACATAGCATTAATAAATAACCATCAGTCTGATCTTATGGGACAGTTGAAATTATTATACGAAGACTGCTTCAACAAAACTCTTATCCAAGAAAACTCTATTCCACAAAATATCAACAAAACCATTACATAACAAAAGTATATTTTTTTGTATACACATAGTTGAAAGCCAGTATCTCCACATGAGCTAGACAAGCAAATCAGCATAAGCATTGAGTCCATGGCTGTTCATGTTCTGCTTAAGCCTATACAATGCTCGGCTCTCTAGCTGCCTTACCCTCTCCTTAGACAGTCCATAAATCTCTCCTATCTCAGACAACGATCTCTGCTTCCCACTATCAATCCCAAACCTCAGCTTGATGATCTTCCTCTCCTTGGGACTCAGCACATTGAGTAGATTCCTTACATGGTTCCTCATCATTTGCTTCCCTACGCTCATTTCTGGTGTCTCAATCCCACTGTCTGGTGTCACTTCTTGTAAATGGATTATTACCATGTAATGCTCTTGGTCAGAAGTCACATTTACAAAGTTAAAAGTGTTACCTAAAAGGTGATGTCTTGATCAGACCAAATGGGTTGTTGCATTGATAGAGGTGTTCTTGTATTGTACAGAAGTTTATCAAGCTTCTCTGTTGAGACACCAACGTGGCTTGTGAGTTCTTCTTTGCTTGGACGGTAGCAATGTGTTTGTTTGAGAGCTAACCTGAAATAAGTTCTGAAAGTTGAGTCCACGATTCTGATATTGTTTAGCTATATGAACTACCAGACGCAAGTTTGCAGTGATCAGCTTCTCACTGCTGCTTCTGCCACAGTGGATTTCAGATTTCAAGACAGGTCCACTTAGCCCCAAAGCTTCAGCCCATTCAGCTATTGTTGGCTCACATCCATTTTGAGATTCAAGCTTAGTCTTCACCTTCTCCAACTTTATCAAATGCTGATATATCAAAAGAAGATGGAAGTTAGAATCAAAAGGAAGCTCAAAGAAGAAAGGGGAAGGAAGCATGAAACAAGTCAAAAAATTCAATCAAGAAACTTTAACATAACTCAAGAAAGCATTTCAGAGAAAATAAGTGATCCTGAACAAAGTAGCACAAGTCTATAAGGTGTCTACAAGGGAAGCTATCAAAACATCTAAAAACTAAGCCTTGTGAACCATAAGTACGAAACAAGATAGAACCTACGACCAGAATAAGAAGTAAAACAAGCTTAAGCTAACCCAATGCATCCAACTATATAATAAAAAATCAGTGTTTCTCTATACAGAATCTAAGACAATGCATCCGAAAATATAATGAACAATCAATGTTTCTCTAAACAGAATCTGAAACCTAAAATAAACAATACACAAATTTAATTTTTAATAGATTTTTCTATGTAGACTGTATATTCAGTCTAAATTAATGTAGACCTATAAGACAGTCTACAAATCCGTAGTCTGCAGTAAAAGTCTACAAATCCGTAGTCTGCAGTAAAATTCTGGGAG